ACAGGAAGTGCGAGGTCTCTTTTAATAAACAATAAATGTGTGCCATATTCTTCTTCATGGAAAAATAAGACATACCCTGAAAATAAGACCTAGCGCACCTTTGGGAGCAAAAATTAATATAAGACACTGTCTTATATCCAGGGAAACAGGGTAACAGGAAAGTCAGCGGTTGATGCCACTGCTTCCTCTGAGGGAGAAAAACAAGGCTTCTGCTCCTGTCGAGATCGGAAGTCTCAGACCCCAGAAGGGCAGTTGCACTCTCATGGAATCAATATGAGTGAAGATCAGCTCAATGGCAGTGAGTTTGGCTTGTATTTTAGATTTGTAGTTACATTTGAAAATGCGCCACTAAAAAAATCATTATGCACCTAGATTTTCTTCTAAGAACATTATATATAGTTTTAGCCTAAACATGTTGATCCATTTCCAAATCAGTTTATATATATGGGACCTGAATGTTTTTTGCATGTGGATATTCACTTTAACTGGCACATTTGATTGAACTTTGCAGGTGGATAGATTTCTTTCTGGCCTTCCGATTCTGATCCCTTGGTCTGCGTGTCTATCTTCTAGGCTATTGGATTGCAGCAACTGGTTTCTTCTGAAATTGGGAGCTCTGAGGTCTACTTCATCCTCCAAGAATAGTTTGGGTATTCAGGGCTTCTTTCCATAGAAAGTTCCTCAGTCTTGCATTTCAGTAACTAATGCTGTTAGAATTTTTATTAGGATTGCATTATACAATTAAAATCTGTAAGGCAAATATACAAATCAGCAGAAGCATCCAAGTATTTCCCATTAAATAGGAATAGAAAAGGGATGACGATTTAAGTTGGAAGACATCAGAAAAGCGAGGCAGTCCTCTTAGGAACCCTTGACAACTTTACATTGTGTTCTGCATTTCTCCCCTTTCACCAGGATCGTCTGTAGATGCTCATCAAAATGTGCAGTAATAGCACATCCTATTGTTCTGGTATCATGGCAAAGGAGGTCATTGTTCGTGTAAACAGTTAGTCACACACTCCATTTTCCCCTTTTCCTGGCAGAAAATGAGAGAGCATGTGTAAGTTTTGGTCTCTATACATATTTGCTCTTTATAAGTGAGGCCATGCATGTGGTTGCCTTATTTCATTCAACGTGTTGTCTTTCCATCCCTGTAGCAGCATGTTTTCAAGACTTCCCTTCTTTCATTGGTTGAGTAGTATTCCGTTGTGTGGGCGTTTCTACTCTGTTTTATGACTAGGTGGTTTTCCTGGTTCTTCTTTCTTGGTTACGGAGTTTTCCATTGTTGCTTCTGGGGTGGTTCACAGTATACTCAGGAGACCAGCACACCTGACTAATTGACATGTTTAAGATCCTACAACTTTTATTTGCATGTTCCCACCTGTCATTTGGCGGGAGTTACCAAGACTATGGATAGGTGAGTGGTGTGCCAAGTAATCGAGCGCTTGCCACACCCTTTGTATGCATGTTTCCTTTTTCTTAACAGATATGGTTTCCTAAAATACTCTTTCAGACAGTAGGTTTTTACTTTTTCTTTTTTAAAAGAACAAAGCCTTTTTTATTAAACTGGTTCTTTTCCTATCCCCACCCCCTACCCCACACCACACACACCTCCCTTTGTGTATTTTCCTTGTTGGTAAAGAAACCCTACCGATTGTTGTGTGTTACTGTGATACCCTGTAGTATCACTGAATTCTTTTCGCTCAAGCATCTTTTCTTGTGGACTGTGGGATTTCTCTTTAAAGGATCATTTAAAAAGTCACTGCCATCTAGTAGTTTCCAGCTCATAGCAATCTTACAGGACCAGACAGAACTGCGGCTGTAGGTTTCACACATATGTATGTGTGAAATGATACAGTTCTTCCATTCCAATTTGGAAACCCTGTGTTATTGCTCTAGCCAGGACTTCCTTTACAGTCCTGCGTAGGAATGATGAGGGTGGGCATCCTTGTCTCATTCCTCTTATCTGTGGGAGATTCTAGGCCAGTGGTTCTCAACCTTCCTAATGCCTGGACCCTTTCAGACAGTTCCTCATGTGGTAGTGACCCCCCAACCATAAAATTATTTTCGTTGCTACTTCATAATTGGGAAACCCTTGTGAAAGGGTCATTGAACCCCCGAAGGGGTCGTGACCCACAGGTTGAGAACCCCTGCTCTTTACTGAGTATGTTGGCTGTTTTCATATGTGCTCTTAATCATGTTGAGAAATTTCCCTTGCATTTCTGTTTTGTAGAGAGTTGTATCAAACAAGGGTTTGAATTTTATCAGTGCCTTCTCTACGTTTATTGAGATAATTATGTGATTCTTTTCCTTTATTAATGAATTATACCGACTTATGTTAAGTCACTCTTGCATTATTGGAATTACTCCTACTTAGCCATGCTGTATAGTTTTCTACCATATTGAATTCTGTTCTCTTGGATTTGAGCGTGTGTGTTTGAGGATTATTGGTGTGTAATTTTTTGTGATATATATATATATATATGTTGTTTTTTAACAAAGCCTTTTTACTTATTTAAGTTTTATTGACGCTTCATCCACATCTCACATACTTCAATGGTTTAATCGTCAAGAAGAGTTGTACAATCATTATCACGTCAATTTTAGAACATTTTCTTCTTTCTTGTACTCATTGTTATTCGTATGATTATTCTTCCCTTTTGAAGTCCTTGATATACGCTCCCACTTAAACACAACCATATCCCCTTGTACTGTGCTTTTCTCATTATCAGTGGTGTTGGTTTCATAGAATGCTTGGTGGGGGGGGGGGGCGCTCTACCTTTTACTGCTGCATAAGGAAAGACTTTAAGTGGGATTGGTGTCGGCTCTTGTTTGCACTTATAGCTCAGGCCTTTTTCCATGTTTTTGATGACAGGTTTGTGGACCTGTTTAGATTATCTACCTTTGTGTTAATTTAAGTAGTGTGTGTGTATCTAGATATATGTTCATTTCATCTAAGTTTTCTAAATTTGAGTAGTCTTCATAGTATTCTGGTATGAATCTTTGTGGAACACATTTGCATCTATTGTAATGTTTCTGTTTCCTTTGTTCTAGCTTCGTTTACTGCTGCTTTAAGTTGCCAAAGTAAGCTATTGATTTGAGTTTTCTGTTTTGTCTTGTTTTGTTTTTAATGTTATAGGCACTTATTGCTATGAAATTTTCGACAAAGACATCCAAAAACTAGTCTTAAGTTTTCTCGATGGGATAAAGGAAAACATGGGAAAATTTTTAGAAGAATTCAAAAAAACAATAGAAGAGCAAAACAAGGAATTTAGTAAGGAGCTAGAAACCTTAAATAAAAAGCAACTAGAAATTCCAAAGCTTAATAATGAAATAACAGACATTAAAAGCACCTTAGAAGAAAGCAGAAGTAGGATGGAAACCATGGAAGGAAGAATCTGTGGACTAGAAGACGATGATTCTGAGAGTAGTCAGTTCGAAGACCAAGTAGAAAAAAATGAACAGGACATAAGGGTCCTGTGGGACTACACGAAGAGAAATAATATGCGCATAATAGGAATTCCAGAAAGAGAAGAGAGGAAACAAAGTCTAGAAGATATTTTTGAAGAAATAGTCATAGAGAATTTCCCAAATCTGGGACATGAGATGATTATCCAGGATGCTCAACGAGATCCATATAGGTTAAACGCTAAGAGAAGCACCCCAAGACACATCATCATCGGACTTAGCAGGTACAAGGACAAAGAACGCCTTTTGAGAGCAGCAAGAAATAAGGGAAATGTCACTTACAAAGGAGCACCGATAAGACTAAGTGCCGATTTCTCACCAGTAACTATGCAGGCAAGAAGGCAGTGGTGTGACATTTACAAAATCTTGAAAGAAAATAACTACCACCCTGAAATAACTTACCCAGCAAAATTATCATTCAAAAGTGAGGGTGAAATTAGGGTTTTCCCAGATAAACAGAAATTAAGGGAATTTGTAGCCACCAGAATAGCTCTACAACAAGTATTAAAGGGAGTTCTCTAGAAAGAAAGCGCGTTCCCAGTCCAACAATCCAGTGTTGACACTAAATAGCTACCTGAGTACATATAATACATTTAAAATGAGATGGAGGATCTGGACTACATAATTGTAATTGACAACCTAGAAATAAAATGGAGATGATCGGTATAGATAAGAGAACTTACAGATGTTAAAGGGAATATAAGTGGTTTGGTAATAATCATCCAAAAAATAATAACATGAAAAAATAAATTACTAAAAAGAACTCCGCTTTGAGGGGGAGTGGATGTTTAATAAAATGTTTGACATAAATTCTCTTGGTAATTAATTGCAGTGAACATAAATGGATTAGACCTTTGAGTGAGGAAACTGGTAGATTGGACTGCAAATATGACATGTATATGACAAGGGCACACCTTAAGCACAAGAACATAAATAGATATGACAAGGGCACACCTTAAGCACAGGAACATAAATAGATTGATGTGCGGGTGGAGATACTTGACTAATAAGTAAGCAGTAATACAAAGCTAACAGTGGCAATGTTAAGATATGACAAGTTATAAGTGAAAGTTTATTATGAGACAGAAGGCCATATGTACCACCTTATTTGATGATGGATGGAACAGTTTTAAAAGGGAATAATGAACCAGAAGACCTGCATAATGTTAGCCATTTGGACTTAACAGGTGTAAAGCACTCCACTTAACAGCACAGTACACACACTACTTCATTGTACATGTGTTTGGTGTAGACTAGTTTTAGACACAGTAAATTTACGTAAGTTTTTAAGAACTGGAACTTGTGTCTAATCTGACCATAATAGAATGAAGTTACAAGTCAATAAGGAAAACTAAAACACAAAATTACAAATTCATTGATTTATAAGCGAGACCAAAAGGAATACATAGAATATTGTTTTTTGAATAAGAATGTAGTCAAAGGTGAAAATCATTACTTGGGTCTTGATCCTAGAATACACATTTTAGTAACAATGTGACAAAGTGGGCAGGCCATTTAAAGTGCTTTGCTGCAGACCCAAATATGATGGTTTAATTGCAGAAAGTACTTTTGGGATTGAGCAGTGTGATGACCTACTTTATTCAAAGACCATTGTTGAAAGAATGAGCAGACTGGTGATGACTATATCAATATAGTCACTTGGCAGGCATGTTCTCAAACTGCCTGTTCCTTCAAATAAACAACTGGCAGTGTTCACTGCCGTGACAAAATGTAAATTACTATGAAGATTGGATAACACTTTCTTGCCACCAGCTTCTCTTCTATTGAGAAAGATGGTGACGTTAACTTAGGAGTTTCTTGATTGATGGCTTGCAAACATTTAAAAGTAATGTGTATTACATTACTTGGTGAACCAACATCTTCCAGATGTTACTAAACATCCATTATAAGTGAATGAGTCCAACTGATTTTAATGTAATCGTATAAAAAATATATTGGTGAAACTACCATTTGTTGCATTTGGGTGTTGTATCAGTTAGACTGTTATTAAAATCTATACTCAGAAATATACCCTGAAGTGGTCTTAAAAGTTAAGTTGCCTGCCTGAGCATTATGCTACTTTAACACCAGTCTGTTGGGAATCAAATTTACAATACATAAAAATTAGAGACTTTATGGGGTAATGAGTTTGTTAATGAAAAAGGCAAATGGTTGTACAGCTGCAAAAACAAGCACTACCACCAAATTGTAAATAAAAACTTTTTTACTATGTATACTCTAAACAAAATAAAGTCAGGAAAATCTTGCCTTTATAACTGTTTGTGTGAGAACAAGGCTTACAAACATCAAACGCACCCCAGAATTTCATTGGAAGATTGCTTTTTCTAAGTTTTTCAGCTTACTTTTAGATAAGAAAGTCTGCCACTGGGTACCCATATACATAAGGGATTCTTTGCCTAAGTGTCAGCAGTTTGTGCTCACCTACCGTTCCATGGCCTCAAAGCAAGTGCTTCCATAAGCAGTCACAGACTTGAAACCCAGTACGTTGCTCTGAGTCAAAAGGTCTGGAGGAAACATTCCTGCTTATGCCCTAGGTAGGAACATGATTGGCATGTTTCAAGACTAGTGAAAACTTGGAACAGTGGGGGAGAATCCAAGGAAAATGGTAAGACAAAGGTAGCCTCGTGCCAGATGCTATATTAGACAAGGAGCCTGAAGACCATATGTAGGGGATTCCATCAGTCTATCCAGCCAGTTAACCTGGTCTTTTTTAAATGATTGTGATTTCTTTCAGGATAGTAACTGGGCACCATCTAGTTATTTTAGGGTCACAGAGACTGATGTGTATATGTGGTCCATTAGTTCTTAGGACTAATTATTTTCAAATGTTTTTCCTCACTCTTTGTCCCAGACAGAGTCTAATAGTTGCACCTTAAATCACCTCTCACGAGCTGTTAAGGCCCCAAAGGTAGGACATAGGAAGTCATCTATAAATTGTTAGGCCATTTAATCATGGTGCCCCAGGATATCATGGATCAGTGGTATGATTTCCAGCATCAGCGTAACAAGGCTACCACGTTAGGGTGGACAGGCAGGAGGGAAGAACAAAATGAGGAACAATACAAGAAAAACAATTGGAGGAGGAAAATATTTTGGTGGGGTGTTTACAGGTTAGTGTCCTCTGCTGGTCCAGGCTGGCTAGCTCATCCTAATTGGAATCTGCCAGCCTGGAAGGTATCTAGGGTTAGAGACTACTAAGAAAGTTCTTGCAGGTCCACAGGGCAACTGGGCAGATAATTCCTAGTTTATGAGCTAGCCTACAAAGTATCCAGGGCTAATTAAGACCCCTAAACCCAAGAGTTGATGCCTGCTCATTGACTGGTTAGGTTTAGTACAGTTGGTTCTGGAAAGGCCCTGCCCACCAGGGTGGTTGGGAGGTCAACGCTTGCAGGTAGTGTGCAGAGGTGGAGAGCATATCCCCTGAGACTGATCATGTGTGCCCAGCAGCCAATTTGTAAGGGTGTGCCTAGAGTGTGTGGAACAGAGGGTTTTCCCCTGTTTACCAACTACTTGGGCTGTATAGTCTTGGATACATTAGGTTGCAATCCCCACAGTGGCACTGTTGGATAAGTGTTGGATTGCCTACCACAAGGTTGGAAGTTCAAACCTACCAGTTGCTGGAAGCAAAGAAGTTAGGGCTATCTGTTCTGTAAAAGATGTCCAGCCTCCAAGGAGAAGGAAAGTAAAAGGAAATAGAGGAAAGAACTAGGAGGCAAAGGGTATTTATATAGGTCTAAATACAGGCATGTACATATGTAAGTAAATATTAGGATGGGAGGGAAATAGATCTATGTGCATATATTTATAGATTTAGTGTTAAGGCAGCAGATGGACATTGGACCTTCACTCTAGTACTTAGTCAATGCAAGAACACGTTCTATTAAATTGGCATTCCCTGATGCACAGCGATCCCTGACACGATTGCTGAAGACAAATGTGTGCATAAGTAAATGTGAAGAAAGCTGATGGTGCCTGGCTATCAAAAGATAGGGTGTCTGGGGTCTTAAAGGCTTGAAGGTAAACAAGCAGCCATCTAGCTCAGAAACATTCAAAGCCCACATGGAAGAGGCACACCAGCCTGTGACCATGAGGTGTAGAAGGGATCAGGTATCAAACATCAAAGAACAGGAAATAACAGTGGGTGCCCACCTACCCGATATGACTGAAGACAAAAGTGTGCATAAGCAAATGTGGGGAAGAAAGCTGATGGTGCCTGGTTATCAAAACAGAGCGTCTGGGGTTTTAAAGGCTTGCAGATAAGTGGCCATCTAGCTCAGACTCAACAAAGCCCACACGAAAGAAGCACACCAGCCTGTGTGATGAGGTGTCAAAGGGATCAGGCATCAAAGAACAAAAAATCATCATTGTAAATGAGGGTGAGTGCAGGGTAGAGACCCAAAGCCCATCTGTAGGCAGCTGGACACTCCCTTACTGAAGGGTTGCAGGGAGTAGATGCTGGGTGGCAACGATGAAACAACTTTACTTCCTGAATGCTTCCTCCCCCCCACTATCATGATCCCCATTCTACCTTGCAAGTCTGGCTAGACCAGAGGATGTACATTGGTACAGATAGGAACTGGAAACAAGGAATCCAGGACAGATGACTCAGGACTGGTGGTGAGAGTGGCGATACCTGGAGGGTGGAGGATAGGGGGAACAGATTACAAGGATCTACGTATAACCTCCCTGGGGCGTGGACAACAGAAAAGTGGGTGAAGGAAACATCAGACAGCATAACATATGACAAAATTTGTGAATCATGAAGGGTTCACGAGGGAGGGGGAAAGAGAGCTGATATTAAGGGCTCAAGTAGAAAGTAAATGTTTTGAGAATGATGGCAACATGTTCTTGACACGATGTATGTATGCATTGTGATAAGAATTGTACAAGCCCCCAATAAGATGATTTTTTAAAAAAGATGTCCAGCCTCAGGAACTATGTAGGGACCCTATGAATTGAAGATGTGGCTGGGTGGCAGTGGTCAGTGCTTTTTTTTCTTCTTTCCCTGATCAAACTAAAAGATCAAAGTTCCTACCCTGTAACAAGCCAACTGATGATCTTCACAGTTTCTGTCTCCTTTTGCTCAGCTTCTAGTAAGCATTCAGTCCATTTCTCTGTCCATTCCTTGGAAGTTCAAAGCTCAATGTTCCAAGATTATCATGTTTCGTTTGGTCTCTTGTGCCTTTGTTGTACAGGGTCTGGGTAAGTGTGCCCACATCTGCCTGGCTCATTGTCTTGCGGGGAGCTGGGCGTGAGTATCTTTAAGAACTGCTTCCCTACTAGCACCTAGGGGTTTCCATTTCACCCCATCGTTACTAACAGACCATATCTTTTGTTTTCGATATCCTTAAAGGTAAAGCATTTTATCTCTATTTTTAAGTTGTGTTTTTATAATTGAACTCACATTTATTGACATAGTTTTTTATTGTGGGGTGTTATTTTAATTAATCTCTAACTTACCTCTGGGTTCTATCTATTGTAGTGGCTACACAGAACTGGAGGATGACTCAAAATTAAAAGGTTTACTAAGGAAGTTAGCCCTCAGGGTTAAGTTTTAAGTGTGTAAATAGTCAAGTCTTATATTCACTATACTTGTTTTTAGATAGTTCATCCCTATTCCGAAATCAAATTACTGTTCAACTATATTCTACTCATACTTAATTTGAAATCTTTCTTGAAATCGTGGGGGGTAGTTTTAAAGTAACATTAGCATAGTAGTACCTTTAGCTTTACTATACTACCAACATTATTGGCGTTTATTTTAAAGATTCCAATTGATTCCTCACTTCAGGTTTTACAGACATTTCCCCCGAGGAGTTGAGGCTTCAGTATCATAACTTCTTAACCAGCAATAACTTACAGAGTTATGTAAGTTTGTTTCCTATTCATCTACCTCCATAACAGAGTAGCTCTTACAGTTATTTTGTGTTGGTAAAATTAGTGAGTTGTCTGACTTGGTGATTGTTTGTTTGTTTGTTTGTTTTAGTTGGTTGATTGCTTTTTTAAGAGCTGGCTATTTTTATTTTCTAATTACATTATTTGAGGTTGGTTGATAATCTAGAGGGATCATAGGCATTTGACTGTAGTAATTAGGACTTTTATTTTAATTACAAATTACTCAGCAGGCAGCCCCAGAATTCAGACCTTTTTGTCATTTGATAAACATTCATTCAGCATCTCTCAAGTGCAGACCTCTTGATGAATGCTGCAAAAAATAGTTAATAACATACAGTCTTAAGTAGATGAACCTTCTCACATTACAAATGTCACAGAAGGAGCAGGCTGGATTGTGTCAGTTGGGGGCCTAGAGCAAACTAGAGACATGGCATCCTTCTGTTGTCTGCAGTCGCAGCAGTGCATTTCAGTCCATGCACATGTTTTGTTCCTCTTCACGTGTAATTGGCTCCCTCTGTGCTACCAGGTACTTGTGAGACTTAACCAGATGATACAAGCCATTGGGAAGCAAGAAGTGGATA